ACTATGTTTATTGCAGCATTATTTACCACAGCTAAGATATGGTACCAACCCAGATGCCCCTCAGTAGATGAATGGATCAAGAAAATGTGGTATATATACACAATGGAATTCTATCCCTTTGTTCAAAAATGGAAAGACTTGGAAAAAATTATATTAAGTGAAGTAAGCCAGGCCCAAAAAAAACATAGGTCCCATGGTTCCCTTATTTGCAATAACTAGCATAAGTCTGAGACAAGCAGAAACGGTCAGATAAGTTGATGTTAGGCGAAATGAATCCCAAGATAAAGACTCAAATGTTTTTTTTTTCTTTCTTGCTATTGTTTCTAACATGTTTATAAGATATTTCTTTGTTGCCTTGTATGACCCACCCCTACGGTATAACCCCTGTTTTCACTGTATTTGATGTTGGCATAATTTGTGTGGAGGGTAACGGAAAAAACAAATTGTTTAAATAGGAATATAGCTGGACCCATTGCAACCATGAGATGTACAAGGTATTATGTTGAAAAACCAACTTTACAACTTTGGCGTGGGGGGAGGAGAGTATGGGGGGGGGCTGGGAGGAGATGGGAAGGGATGGGAAGGGGAAACAAAGGAGGAGGCAACAATGCTTGATAAGAAATGCACTCATTACCTTGCCCATGTAATTGTAACCCCTCTGTTTATAAATTAATTAATTAATTTAAAAAATTCACATAAAAATAAAAAAAGAATGAGGATAATTCTATTTTCGTAATACATCCACTCATAAAGATGAAATAAAAATCTGGTAAAAATGATTCACAAACATGTATATTCTCTGTAGGTAGAAAAATTATGGACTATTCTTCATTTCATTGCTTTTGTTTCTTTTTCCCCTCCAGTACTAGCCATTTGAAGCCAACGTATCAGACACAGTAGGCAAGTGTTTTGCCATTTGATCTATATCCCAGGCCTTATTCTTGTAATCATCACTGCAATAAAATTTAAATTAAAAAAAGATAAAAATCTTTATAACTTTTGTTGTGCTAGCTTCCAATTCTCATTCTCCCTGCCTCTACCTCCTGAGAAGCTGAACATGACATCATGCTTGGCTTATCTAGAAAGTTTATGACACAAGCGTGCATCATTTATGTAAATACAGATTTTTAAATATTTCAGATTAATCTAGTAGGCTGACAATCCTGATAATTAATTACAATTGCTTACTAAATGTGTCTCAACCATGAACATAAAAATAGATAAATCAAATTATGGATCATTTTAGATGTGAAGATCATGGCGCTTTGGGGAAAAATCATAAAGTAAGGTATCTCAAAATCTAGTAGTCACTTTTTCAAAATAGTAATGGTGTATGATTCCTAGAATACATAGTAATATTTTATATTGAGGAGATATTGCTTCCTGCAGAAATCTAACCAAGCTATCAGTTTGGTTCTATTTCTATGTATTTACCAGTTCACCATGTGGGGGCAGGAGAGTCCTTGTTACTCACTCGTGTGGTGTAAGCAGCTTCGGGGTCATCCTCTAGAACACGTGAAAGTCCAAAATCAGAAACCTTGCACACCAAATTACTGTTGATCAAGATGTTCCGAGCGGCAAGGTCTCTATGAACGTATCCCATATCCGACAAGTACTTCATTCCAGATGCTATCCCTCGAAGCATCCCAACCAGCTGGATGACGGTAAACTGGGCATCGTGTTTCTGGAAGACATTCCCAGTGTAGAATTAGGGTTGTTATTAGAGCCTAGAAATGCATCCTTTAATTTTTGTCCTTTAAAATCTCATATATCAAAAATTGTAACAAAGCCAACTGTAGACATGTTAGCTCAAAGCTCTCATGACTAACAAGATCAGTGGATCAATGGATGCATTGCCAAGTAAACACCATGCAATCAGAACCAAGTTCAAAAGTAGGCCTCTGCTGATCTTTGTGTGATATATATTTATAATGCTTCCTCAGAAACATGAACAAGAACAAACAAACGAAATGGGTGTTGCAGCTATGCCAGGTTCATTTCCTTGATGCTTTATGAATTGCTTTAAATTAAGTAGCACTAAAATGTTAGTTATCAATATAATTCATTCATGAACAGTAAAATCATGGATTGACCATTTTGTTTTGCTTTTTTCCCTAACTCTGAGTGTTAGATCACAAAATAGAAAGAAATTGAAGACAAAGTCATAAAAGCTCTGCATTATGAAAGCAAACCTAAGGTATTTATTTGATTAATCTTATTCTCTCTCTCCCTCTACCTCTTTCTCTCTGTTTCTCTCTCAGTGGTACTGTGGTTTGAACTCAGAACCTCCTGGTAACCTTGTAGGTGCTAAAGACACGTATCTAGTCCACCATTTGAATTTAAATAGAAATAGGTGGTAAAAGCAATGTGTTAATACTATATCCACTTCTAAATATATCTCAGAAAGCATTTACAATATTTATTATTTAAATGAATTTATTTATATTTATTATTTAAATGAATTTTAGTGTGTTTTGAGATCCATAAAAACAACTTGTATTAATATGACTGTTGTCTTTTAAAATAATCATTTCTCTTTTGTAGAAAATTTAGAATTTTCCCTCATAATTATGAATGGCATGACATATTTTTGTATCTTTATTCTTCTATATTCCACCTGTCTCAAGACACAAAATAATAAAAACATTTTGAAGACCCTAAACATGACTAAAAAAAGCGACTAATGTTGATTTTTAATGTCTTGAATGTCAAAATTTCTATACTTCTTTGAGAACTGAATTTTCTAAACTACATTAAAATATGATGAATTAAGCATTTCAAATATAAAGCTTATATGTTTAAAGAATATATATATGTGTATTTATATATAATTACATATTGACAAATGATACCTTAACTTAAAAATATATTTTCTTTAATAATATAGTTTATAGTACATGCCTAATTATTGAGTAAAGTCTATGAGCAGTACATAGTCTATCTTATCATAGTTTGAGGTTACTTTACATAGTCAAAGGGAATATTTTTGTCTTACGTAAATATTTATATCTGGGTTTAGAAAAATATTTTAATTTATGTTAATGATGTGAATCTTGAAAATGCCAAAAACTTGAAGAAGATCGCGCAAACTTTAATACTATGTACTATTAAAATTTGAATGCTGCAACTAAACATGCAGAATAAGTTTTGTCCTTGATATTTAGTCCCAGAAATGTTCAGCTTTCCTTAAAATTTAGATAACCTAATTGCTTGACATAATATTAGAAGACATTTCTAACAATGAGCTGCTGACAGCTCATTCATAAATTCAAACATGTGCATATATATAGTTTTACTTACACGTAAGAAACTGTCCAAAGAACCATTCTCCATGTATTCTGTTACAATCATAACTGGCTTACCTATATAATAACAAATAATACATTGAATATCATCAAAACTGTGCAACAAATATCATGCAATTAACTTACATATAATACTCTTGGGCACCTAATGAATTCAAAGATTTAAGAAATTTCTCTGCCCAAATTTTGCCATGCTGCAATTCAAGAAAAAAAAACACAGCAAACGAAAATGAAACTATGAAATGAAAATGAAAAAAGTGAAACTAAGAAAAAAATGGAGAAGACTGGTTTCTAGATCAAAGGCCTTAAATCTAGATTATCTAACAGGACTTATTTGGAATTGTTTTCAGGAAACATAAATGTCAAAATATGTCTCCATTCTTTAATTAATTGCATCTTAGCTACTTTTCAAAAATAATATTTTGTTTACAAGCACAAGACAGAATGAGGAACCCAATTTCCACTTACCCTGTGGGCATGTACATCCACAACATAGTGTTCTCTTTTGTTTTGGTTAGTTACAGGCACAATAAATAAAACTCCCTCTCTTTCACGAAACTGGTACTCAAAAAGTGATAAGGTAGGATCAAAGGGAATGAAGGGGAGAAGCTGGGAGAAAAATTCATATGCAGTCATAAAACTCAATGCATATGCTACAAAATTAAGAATTTTGTGGGAGTGGGTAGGATTAGGAAGGATGGAGGAGAATGAGGAAAGAATGCTCAAGATGCATTGTATATTCATGAACTGTTTTGTTGAATTACAACTTCTTTACAATTTAAAATTTCATTTAATTAAAAAGTGAATTTAAAAATTAATTTAAAAATTTAAATAATTCCTACTTTCATGAAGTGTACAAGAGACTTGTAGGAAACAATAAACAGAATATAAAATTCATGTTATATTTGAAAGGAAAATAAAGCTGCAATAAAAATTGCTGCAACCACTAATTTGTAACTTGGGAAATACATAGGCTCAATGTGACTAAACTATGTGGATCCAGCATTTTAATGTACTTATATAGCAACTATTCTGTGTATAATACTGATTGATTAGATACATAAATTGTATAATTATTATTGTACTTAAGAAACTTGAGACAGCAAAGATAAGTGTCTCAATGTCATGAAGTAAACAAATTATAAAGTCAAGAGTTGTAGCCTACACACTGTGCTATTCATGAGATAAACATATAAAATCTCAAGCAATACCAAATAGTGTTCTTAAGTATTGTGAATATATGCAGCTAGAACTAGAATAAATGTTTAACAAGGAATAATGATTTAACTGATTGTTGCATGCCTATAGGGTAATTTTAATTAAAAGTGTATATATATATATATATATGTACTGTAGCACTATATCTACTACTAATAATAATGCCATATGTACAAAGCTAAATATTACTCTAGATATATTACACTGACAGCAAAGAAATTAATTTTAGAAACTAGCATAATGAAAAATACAAATTTGGGAAATAGATACATCTGATATCTGGGAAATCCCGGTGTTTCTTCTTTGAACAGAAGTTTATAACAGTCTTGAGTACTTCATATGCTCTAGCACTTAATTCTCATGGTATACTTATGCTTCAATAATATGCATTCTTTTTTCTTTTTCTTCTTCCATGGAGAACAATGTGCATTGAAATAAGTTATTTTTGTAAAAAAATATTATCCAGTAGTAAACCAAATCTCTGACATGGTCTGAGTTTAAAACTTGCATTTATCATCACATTTTAACTCTGCTTTGCTGATGCCATGATGTCTTGATGACAAGCCCTTCATGCTACAAGAAAGTTATTCCTTTTCCACCTTCAGAAGTTCTAAGTTGAATTCTGATGAAAGTCTTCAAGCATGACTGTCTTAAATCTAACACAATTATCATTTGCTTTCATAAGTACCTTCTATCTTATGAAGATTAGTTTGCCATTTTGATGCTAGAAAATATAAAACTTTATTTTCTATTTCTTTTATATGTAAAAATTCTGAATCTATGCTGTTGAGAATTATCATTCAGTAACATGAAAGCTACTCACACTATATTTAGTTATTTGAATATATCATAGGAGAGATGTCTTGATTTTTGGAGTGAGGAAAATATTTAAATTCTATAAATTTTTTCATGATTTTCATGCATAATATAATCAGTTAACGCAATGCTCAATTTAACTAATATGCTGATTTAACTTTCTGGGTACATATCACATTTAACATTGTGATCTAGTAATATCTGAAAAATTATTTTAACCTAAATTCTGAGCTGTCAGAATTTGCTGTTTACAAATTCTAGCTAAAGTTCAATTTCACTATATTTAAGGGAAATGGAAGACTCAACCAATTTTTTTTGGTTCCTATTTAACTTTATCAGAGACCTGACTTTTAGTGAAATGAAGGCTTGAGTGAATGAGCAAATATATGAATGAATAAGTGAATGAGTGAAGGTGCTCTCTGTAGATCATCTCCTGTCCCTGTTCCTTCCCTAATATAATCCTGAAGAGCATAACATGTTACAAATACATGCTTCCAAGGGAGTTCAAAGTACCTTGCTTTTCACTGCCAGTTATTGAATCTGTGTATTACTCAGACCTCTGCTTATCACTCACTTCCTCTGGCTTTCAGCCTTATGACCATTTCATTTCCCATTAGCATATAGAGTACAATGTTTGGCAAGGGAAATAGAAGTAGCTAAAAATCAACCCAGTCAATTAAGCCAAAGCTCCATGACCATTCAGAAATCAGATCAGGCTGTCTTTAACTCTGTAATTTAGGTATTTGTAAACACTTCAGTTAAGATGGGCAAGTTGGGAAATGTGCTTTGCATTAAGTTCAAAGATTCAGGAAACCAAATGTACAGACAAAAAGTAAACAGAATCAAAATGTTCTACCTTGGAAATCAGTACTAAGAGTTTCCCTTGTGATCATGATTTTGATAAATATAGTTAAAGAAAAAGACTTTCTGGAATAGTGGCCAGAGTTAGTTCTAATATGCATAAAATGTACTAGGAAATTATAAAATGACAACTCTTCATAGTATGCAATATTGATACACAAGTGTGCATGCTCTTTTACATGCATTTTGATTTGCAAATAATATGACCTACATACTCAAAACAAACCCTACTTCATTCATTATCAACAGAGACTCCAAAATCTATCTGGCATATATCAAAAACTTTGAAAATGGTCAATAACTAGATGGAATAAAACTATCAAAATGAACAAAACAGGTTTGTAGTTGGTGTGTGTGTGCATGTGGTGTCTGTGTCTGTGTCTGTTTCTGTATCTGTGTGTGTCCTGGGGCTTGAGCACTGGGCAATGTCCCTGAATAATTTTTTGCTCAAGGCTAGCATTCTATCATTTGGGATACAGCTCTACTTTTGGCTTTTTGGTGGATAATTGAAGTTTTTCATAGGCTTCTTCCAAGGCTGGCTTTAAATCATGATATCTCAGCCTCCAAAGTAGCTAGATTACAGGCATGAGCCACCTGTGCCAGACTCCATTTTGTTTCTATATTTACTTATAAATATATGGAAGGAATATTGACTTTTCACATAGTAAAAACAAGTGAGTAAGTCTACTAAATGAGTTTATTTACCAACTTTCCATAGTGATTCAGAGATATTTCTAGTTACTGAATAACTGTTCGATGAGAGTGGGTAGGAGATTTAAAATAACTAAGAATTGCAGGATAAGCACCACTATTTTCACCACAAACTTCTCCATCACATTTTTTACAAAAAGAAGAGTAAGTGATATGATAGATACACAGTCAACCATAGACCTATTTTTCTTTACCAATTTCAAATATTAATTCTTAGATAATAACATCCACTTTCAAACAGAAATGTAATTATTTTTAAGATATCTAAAATTATACACACTTAACCCATTGTTCTATACAGTTTTGTAACTATTCCAATGTGATTCAATTTTGTCTTATTTATTAAGATGACCTGTTATTTTACCTTCTGATATTGATTGTAGAGATTTTGCATTAAGGCAATTGTATGCTTCTGAGTTTGGGGTGTTCCTTTTCCCCCTTAATACAAAAGTTTGTGTAAAATCAGAAATGCTCAGATATCTGCTGAACTACTAAACTACTTGTATATACTGAGTGATTTTTTTCTTATTTTTGGATAGTTACTATGGATAATAAAAGGTAGTATTTGTACACATTGAGAATTATGGTCTTGTAATTTTTTCTTCTTTTATTTTCAAGGTGATATACAGAGGGGCCACAGTTACATAAGTAAAGTAATAAGTACATTTACTGTCAAACTTGTTACCTTTCCCTCATTTTTCTCCTACCAACTCCCTCAACTCCCACTCCCCAAGTTGTACAGATTATTTCTAACATATTGTCTTGTGTATATTGCTGTTGTATTGCTTTCCCCCTTTCCCTTTGTCTCATCATTCTGTTGTTCCCTTTCCCTTCCCTAGTTTGAATAAATTTATATACAATACCAGGGTACCAGAATCAAATACAACCAGAACAGGGTATATACCATAGGGGAAAGAATATACAAAGTAAGCAAAAAAATCACATAGTATATTAAAAACAACAACAACAAAGAAAAATGGAATTCCATGCTTCCATCAGAAAGAATGACATTGCTCCACTTATAAGGAAATGGAAAGACTTGGGAAAAAATCATATTAAGTTAATTAAGCCAGACCCAAAGAAACATAGATCTCACAGTCTCCCTTATTTGCAAAATAATTAGTATACATCTAAGATTATCTTATCAGATGAGCAGAATATCTCAATAGCTATGTACATATGACCATATAAGATGATGCTAAGGGAAATGAATTCCCAGACATGGTCACAAGAGGATTTAGTAAACTTTGTAAGTTGAATTTAATCTTCAGAAAATATCCAATAAAATAAATGAGGAAATTTACCACATAAATTCTGTTTTAATCCAAATATGCGGATTAGTGCAATGATTATACATAGAGCATGCAAAGGAAAGAGCTAAAGTTCTTTAGACATGTAAATACATCATTCTAGTTCTCACATTTTCAGTAAATATTGAGAAACAGTCTCCT